TACCCCGAAAGCTTGTCCTCAAAATTGTATGTTAGTGCAAATAAAAAAAGTATGACGGACAGGCTCTGATTCAGTAATTTAATTTCTTCTTAATTAAGAGGAGTTCCACTGATGTTAAAAATGCCTTCCCATATTGCTCTCTTCGCCTTTTGTTTTCTCTTACCTCCCCTGCACCCCCTCTTCCTTCTGGTGATTTTTTGTATTTCCCCCCCCAAATTCCTCCCAGAAGGGGACATACCCCGAAAGCTTGTTCTCAAAATTGTATGTTAGTGCAAATAAAAAAAGTATCACGGACAGTACTCAATTGTTTCTGTCGCAAGTGCACTAATATGGCTACAATCACCTCAAGCTGAAGATACACAAAGATAGGGAACACCTGCTGGGACGTCCCTTTGCAAATGGGGTAGATTTCGTCTGTTCTAGGATGGGGGAATATATTGCCAAATTTTTACAACCACTGGTATTTAAAACAAAGGTCTTCATTAAGGATGCTAAACATTTATTAACAGTGTTAAAGTCTATTCATGGTAGTGGAAACATAATAATGGCTAGAGCTGATGTAAGCTCATTATACACTTTTATAAATCATGCAGATGCCATTGAAGTGGTAAAATGGGCATTAGAAAAAAGGATAGCTATGAAGTAGGCAGAGGAAATATTTGATAAAATGTTTAGATTTTTGTTTGAGTCATAACTGATTTTGGTATGGTGGTAATTATCATGAACAGACAAGGGGGATAGCCATGGGAGCAAGGTTTGCTCCAAGTGTGGCAAATTTGTTTTTAGCTAAATGGGAAGAAGACATAGTATTTCAAATGGCACTGTACCATCAATTCATAGATGATATTGTGCTAATATGGAAGATATTATCGAGATAGTCTAGAAGTTTATGTTGATAAATTGAATAATAATAATATGAAACATTCAGCTGAATTGGGAGTTTAATACTCATAAAATAAACTTCCTAGATTTAGAAATTATGAATAAGGAAGGATCCATTGGCACTAACTTGTTCTTTAAACCTACAGATCGAAATGCATATATTCCCTATTCTAGCTGCCATCATAATGTATGGTTGAATAATGTCCCTAAGGGACAATTTTTAAGAATTAGGAGAAAATGTTCCTCCACATCAGATTACATGCAACAGGCAAATGTATTAGGAGAAAGGTTCATAAACAAAGGTTATGATTAGTGACCACATTAAAGGCAGTGGAACAGATGGATAGGAAAGAGTTGATTTTAGTAAAGAAAATAAAAACAGAAGATTTTTCCACTGCAGTGTTGTTGGATTTTAACTGTCAACACAAAAATGTAGATAAAAGTATAAGAAAACATTGAACAGTCTTAAAAGCAGGTAGACAATTGGGGGATATTTTACCAGACCAACCTAAGTTAATTTACAGGAGAGCACCTACAGTAAGAGATAGGTTGTAAAATCGGTTATTGATCCACCCCTGCAGAGCAAGTTGTCATTCTTCTCGTAGAATGGTTTCTATGCATGTGGGAGGTGCCGGGGTTGCAGTCAAACTATAGGAAACCTTAAAATTAGAAAAACTTTTTATCTCCGAAGTTACTAAGAAAGAGTTCATGATAAGGAATTGAATTACTTGCAATACGGAAGGAGTCATTTATTGCTTGAGGTACCCATGTGGGATGCAATATATCGGATGCACTAAGAGAAAAATGGCAAAAAGGATACAGAAACAGGTCTATAGCATCAGTAGGGGTTATAAAAAGCATTTCCTATTCAAATATTTTAGAGAGGTGCACAATAGGGACCCCACAGGTCTTCAATTCTGGGTCCTAGAGAAATATAAAAAATATTGGAGAGGATCAAATAGGATCAGAGATTTAAATCAAAAGGAGGCAAAGTGGATATAATTGCTGAAAACCTTGTCGAATTGAATTTGGATTTTGATTTTTGATATTCTGTTTTATTAAGAATTTTTAGATATGGATGGGGTAACAACAGTTGACAGTTTTGTCACATTTTTTGTCTAGTGGTATCATTTATTTCATCCACTAGAGGTAATCATTTATTTATTTGATTTTATAGTTAATTTGATTTATTATCTATCAAATGGTGAGGATTTACTTTATTTTTTTTATGTTTTTGTAAGATATATATATATAGAGGGGAGGGAAAGTTTTTTAGGTTTTAAAGGGCATATTCTTATGATTTGTAAAAGTATGGACATCATGGATAGTTATGGTAATGTTTTAATTTTATATCATATTATGTTCCCGAAGATTTGGGAATGTTTTTTGATGAATAAGGGTGGTATTGGATTGATTAGCTATATAATGGCCTCTTCTTTTTTATATGTTTTGGTTTTATCTCTGGCGTGTATTTAAACAAATGTTGGACATCCTATCAGGTTCCCTATGAGGAAGGCACTGTGCGGAGTGATGAAATGCATCAGAGGTGTTACCCGTGTGATATCAGCATGCTTGGAAACACGAGTTTCGCTTTATCGCCATACCTCTCACGTGGATGTCCATACTTAAAGATGCAGCCTATATAAGTTTCTTATGCATGGGATTCAGTGCACTGAATGGAGAGTGCACTTGGTTTGTGAGCATTATTTTAATCCATATAATAAATGAATTCTTAGTTGAAGCATACTACACTATGAGAGATTCTTTGTCCTCTTACATCTTACCGAGGTGATAAGGTTACTACCGGATAATCAGCAATTATATACCCAGTATATGGGAAGGCGCTTTCTTACCTTTACCGATAGGTGGGTCACGGCGTGAAGGTAAGGGTCAGTGGAGGCAGGTGAAGGTGCACAGAGGTAGATTGCTTGGACAATTTATATGATCTCCGGTGGACGGTGGAGGCACATTAACATGATTGTGTTGACTTTTATAGCTTTTGTGGGATTTTTCACAGAGATGTTTGTTTTTTTTCACGGATTTATTATGAGAACTAATTTTATATTCATATTAATGATATTTTATTTGTAATACTGCATTGCATGCTATTGAATTGTTCCACTGCACTTTTTTTGATTTGCACAAAAATATAATATATTGAGGTAAATGCTGCACAGCTAATGAACAGTTGAATGAAGTCACTGTCTGCATCTGAGGTCTAATTATGTTTATACAGTTTGTGTAAAGAAAGGATGGTAGTGGATTTTATTTGTTTTGTATTATCAGTTCCAATTCAATAAAGACAAACTATGTTCTTGATAATGTTGAAATACAATTTATTTTTAAGACAGTTAGACCTACTGAGCTGACAAATAAAACCTTTCGCTTTCTTTTATCCCCAGCACATTATTTCACAGAGAGGAGCAGGGGTCAAACACATGGTAATTGTTGCTTGGAGCTTTCTCTGTCTTGCTATGTTTGTACATTATTGGAACACATGCCTGATCAAGAAGTAGCATTACACTGGGGGGATAGGATATCATTTAGCAGGCACTGCGGTGATACAAAATGTAGATAACTTGTTACAAGACCTGTGAAAAATGGAATTGAAGAATACTTTTTTTCATCCTGGCTTGTCTTTAAGGGACCATGACTGTACAAAAGGTCTAGAGTAAATACAAATTAAAGCTTGTAGGTGTGGGAATTTGTGTGTATTGACAGAAACTGGGAAACAAAATGACTGTTAAGGCTTTTAAAATAGTACTATTTAGAAGATCTTTTAAAGATAATAAATATCAGGTTATCGGTTTGTCCAACAAAAGCTGGGTGCACACTTCTATGCTGTGGTGCGAAATGCACATTGTCATGTTACATGCATTAGTGCATTGCATTTCTGTTCTTTGAATGGTATACTGACTTTTTAGGGCAACACAGCAGCACCAAATAACATGGTAAAACACATGCCACAATTTAGTGCTTTGTCATACTCATTTGAATGTCTTAATACAACTCATGTTAATATGTAAAAAAGCTTGCAGTAACACATGTGAGTTAATGCTACACCCCTCATCATAAATATGGGGACCCACCTCAAATCCAATACAAAGGGGCTAATGATTACTCTCGAATAATAGGGGTAGATTTACTAAAACTGTTGCACACATCGTGCGACCATCGAATTTGAGTGATCAGGAATGTTTTTTGAAAAACAAAAAGTATTTCTAATCAATGATGGGAGAATTGTGCAAGAAATATAATTGAAAAAGAAAGGAGCATGAGCTTGTGACCTGGAAAGAAAAGAAGATTCCCAGCCACAAAATTTATTTTCTGTGGCAATATGAGGTGAAATTAACCTCCCTGGCGGTATGATTATTTCAGATTTTTGGTGCTGAAAGCGGTACCATTTTTTTGCATGGAAATATGTATTTTTTTTATTGTAGGCTGTAATTTTTAGGAAAAACTCACTGAAATCTGTCCGAACAAGAGTCTAGTAAACATCCCGGGTATGATAAAATTTGAAAACACAAAATCATAAATTATAATTTAATAAATAATCATAAAAATATAAAAATAATAAAAAAATTTAATTCAATAATATAATCAAACAAAAACACTGAAATGTGAAATAGAGCGCCAAGTTCGCACATTGCTGAGCTCAGTCGCAAAATCGTTTTCAGTTTCTGATGACGAATTTCCCCCATGAATCATTATCACTCAATTCTGTAAGTGGTTCTGATTTACTATCGCTGTTCTCTAGCTGATCTAAACCGCTTTTGACCTAAAGGGACACTTTTTGGATGCCATGGACATTTCTCAGTTTCCAGGCAGAAAGAACAGACAAAATGCAGGCAGGGCACAGGACAAAGCACTAGGACAATATGTATGTGAAAATAGGTTGAAACAGCAATGTTTTACTGTGTAAAATGAAAAAAAAAAAAAAAGACATTTTTAATAAATTTTTAAATTTCCCGCCGCCGCCGGCGGCGGCGCCCGTACGTCCCGACGTCACAGGGACAGGACACAGAAGCCGGATGCCGGCATCGGCCGGAGGAGATGGCCGGGGACGCTGCGCAGGGGACACATCGTGGGAGCGCAGGGTAAGGTAAGTGAAAGAACACATGCCTGAGCAGTGCCGCAGGGTAAGCCCGAGTGTAGCTCGGGGTTACCGCTTTTGGTACTGAAATGTTACCCCGAGCTACACTCGGGAATACCGCCAAGGAGGTTAAAGGCTTGGTTGTTCAAATTTCAAAATGGTGGTGGCACGATAGGATTACAAAACACACACATTTCTGATTTTCTAAAGAAAACTAAGAATTCTAAACTAATTTAAATTAGTTCAGAATTTGACCCATGTATGGCCTGCCTAATACCAGAGAATATACAATCAACTGCATAGAAACCAGTCAGCTTCCAGGTGTTATTGCCAAAGCATAACTGAATAAGCTGAAATTAGAAGCTAATTGGCTACCATACACAGCTGCACCAGATTTTGCACTCTCCAGTTTTAGTAAATCAACCCCAAAGTGTCTACTATGTGTGGACAAGTATTTGTGACAACACTTCCATCATGAACTACTAGAAAGAAGCCAATAGAAATGAGAATTCGGAGACAAAAAAATTCTCATTTTTTATTTTACATTTCAATTTCTCAATACATTTGTGATTTTTTACCTATCATATTCTGTAAAGTTAGCCTAGTAAACAGAGACAAAATTACTGAGGGAACACAATATAAAACTGTTACATCAGGGTCCATTCACACTTATGATCTTTCATGAATTGTGGAGGTGCATTTTTTGTTTCAATAAATTTTTGATGAAATTTTCATATAAAGTTATACAAACAGCATAACATCATTCAAGTACGTGCCAGAATAATAAGGAGCAGAACATAAGTTCAAACATTTATCCATAATTACTTAGCCTTCCAATAGTAATAGCAAAATAAAAAAAAAAAGAACAAATTAACAGGACAGATAACATATAGAGAATCAATCAGTGCAGCCAAAAATATACAAATAAGAAATAAATATATAAATAAAAAGTATAAATAATAAGTTGCAAACTAAACATAATAAAAGTGATTTCCCTATACTTTGCAAATATACCTAATAAAATAATTTTCAAAAAATACTTTGCAGATAATTAAACAATGTAATATATAAAGTCCAAATAATAGTGCAGTCCAATGAAAATTATTCCAAATGTGCCATTATGACAACTGGTGATAAAAAAAAATTTCAGCTGCATTCTGTGTCTCCACCTCCAGTGAACAATGGCCGCTCACCTCAAATACATGACCCCCTGAATAAGGTCAAAATGCACTTGCCCATCTGAAGGGTTAATTCCCAATGTTCTGGGATACTTCACTCTCCTCTTCACCAAGCATGGAAATGCATTCACATAGCAATAAAAAAGAAAGCCACTAGTGTTCTCTGTTTCAAAATGTATTAATACTGCTCAAGAAATAAAAAGACACTTAAAAGATCAGAAGCACTAAAACCAGTGCTCAGTATAAGCACCTAAACACAAACAAATCAGCATCCAACCGCATGTGAGGTAAGCTAGGAGTTTACCTGCTTTATTACCAGATGCATAGTCTGACATTTTTTTATGGTGACGTGTATCATCTTTGGGAGAATTTTAAAGACGCAAGGAGCCAAGTCAGGCCTGTAGGGTGGAGGGGGAAACACCATGATGTTTTTTTCAGCCAAAAACTCTCTGACAGCCAAAGCATTGTGACTCGATGTGTTGTCGTGATGAAGGATCCATGTTGTGCCGAACTCAGGACACTTGGTGAAAAACTCTTTGTTTCACATGACCAACAACTTCCAGGTAAAATCTTTGGTTCACATTTTGACCAGTAGGTACAAATTCCTTATGGACAATTACACGTGAATAAAAAAAAAAATGACCAATGATTTGACTTTTTATTTGCTCATTCAAGCTTTCTTGGGGTGAGGTGATGTGGGTGTGTGCTATTCTGAACTTTGTTCCTTCATCTGGGGATCATGCTCAAATACCCAGGATTCATCTCGCATAATTACTCGACTCAAAAAATTAGACTCTCTTTCCAAAAGGGCCAACAGGTCTTAGTAAACGAGTTGATGGTGTTCCTTCTGATCAGATGACCAACTCATCAAATAAAGTTTTGCATACACTTTTTTGCTGAGAACAGACCTCACTGCATCCACATTCTGTTCCGTGTTTGACAAAGTGGGAAGTCCTGATCATTGTTCGTCTTCAACACCTTCTTATCTTTCCTTGAAAGCCTTGTGCCAACAGTACACTTGTGCATATGATAGTGCAGCTTCTACATAAGCTTTCCTCACCATTTCTAAATTTCTGATGCACTTTTACCCAATTTCACACAAAATCTTATATTGTACTGCTGTTTCAAACTCAAGTGCATTTTTCCTAATACAAGGCACTTGAACAGGGTGTCACAAAAAAGAATGTCTTGACTCTGACAGGGCTGGAAAGCAAACTGATCAGTGTTTTAACATATACTTGGAACCCCCCCCAAGTGACCTTGGCCAGCAGCTCCCTTCACAGAGCCCTTCTCGAGTGTGGAAACTTCATTCTCATTATGTTTTGGACACACCTTGTATACAATTATATGTAACAGTCATTCCCCCCCCCACTAACTACCAACATAAGGGACAGTATCTTACATATCCTGACCCCTGCACTCTATACGCTGTGCTGTACATTACTTACTCCTGATCCTTGCACTATATATGCTTTGTTATCAATGACATACTCCTGATTGCTGATCACTATATAGCATTCTGTATGTTATATCCCAGTAACCGCTGCACACTATGTTATATATTACATTGTAATAAGCACTGTACTTTCTAACCTAGTTTTTATTGTCCTAAGGCCTCGATCACCTGAGGCATACTTAAACAAACACCAATGTGAGGGCCATGTTTTGCCTACATAGGATGCACAGGTAGTCCCTTTCATGACAGTTGGAATGTAGTGGCTTTACAAACAAGCAGCTGCTGTGATATTTGTGTGGGTGCCTGTCCCTAAATGCAGACTACAGCTACAGTAAGTCTCAAAAGGTTTAAAGAATTCTGATTCCAAACCCCAGAAAGGTAGCAATCAGCAAAAGTGTAAATAATATTGAACTGTACATGTACAGTATCAAAAGATCATTGAAGTGATGCTGTTAGCATTTGAATGACAACCTGATCAAGAAGTTACACTAGCACTGCAAGAAAAATAACAGAATGTTGCTGAATTGAAAATTGGCATCAGTGATATACTGTATCCTGTAAAAAGAAAACAGCAATCTCAGTCAAAAAATCTGTGAGATTCAATAAGGACATCTCTAGATGTTTATCATATGTACTGCATACTGTGTCATACATGCAAAAGCTACCTGTTCAAAAGAAGCAAAAGTTGATTAAAGTTGTAGATGAAGTGGGGACATCTCTCAACCACATTCAAGCTTGGGAACTTGCAGAATTACATCAAGGTAATTACAATTGGATTGAAATGGATTTTTAAAGTCAAATATAACTCTGAAATAAAGTCCATTGATACTGGACAAGATTGGTTGCAAAGGCATACACACAAAAGTATGGTGAAGACTAAGTTGCTACTTTTTCTCCAGCTGCAAAATTACCTAGGCATTCAAAGTCAGCATGGGAAAGATGGAAGTTGTCTGCTAAATTAAAGTTCGTAAAATTGATGTAATCCTTAACCAGTTTAGAAAGGCAGAATGCATGAATATAAGGTTTAAGAACAGCCCTGGAAACAGTGTACCTAAATATGTAAGGAGAAGAAGATATTCTACCCAATATTAGACAGTACAGACAAGCAATGGGGGCAGTTTTGTATACAACTACTTGTTCAGTTATAGAAGCTGTCATGTCACTTATTTTCAGATTTCTAAATAAACTCTAACAAAGGGACTGGAATGCAATTGTTGAAAGAGTCGTGCAGTCTCTAAAAAACTCAAAGTGAACCCAGGACCTGGATATGTGTATGTGTAGCAGATGAACCTAGTCCAAATATACAAGTGGTAATTTGTTCCAATCAGGCAATAGCCCAATATCCTGCTACTGCAAACAGCAAGTCCAGTGTGGGGCCTCTCATATGGAAGAAAAATATATTTGAAATATATTTTAAAATTATTCTTCCCAAATATATTGCCATATATTTGAAATGTTACAATTTTGGCCATATTCAATACATTTCAAAATATATTTCAATAAATATATATTTATATATACTGCATGTTGAAATGCGTTTTCAAAGGTACTGTATGTCTTTAAAAATGCAAATCTACTTTTTTGGAATGCATTTACAAATCTATGTAAAAATATATGTTAAAATGACTTTTTTATATGTTAAAAAAAATCTGAAGCTTCACCCACACAGCCGAATTATTCATTCACAGAGTTCTGTAAATGAATGAACTACAAGTACCGACAGCCTTTGCGGTACTTTTTTACCGCCCTAGTAGTTCATTGTAGTTCTCAATTAACTACCAGGGTGCTGTTGAGTGCCCTAGGTATTTAATGTATGCTTCCTGTCAGCATGTAACTGCCTGCTCGTATGATCCCTGCATTGCACTCATGATCTTCTGATCACGGATGCAAAGCTTTACAGGCTTCTTATTAAATAAATAAATGCACATTTTTTTTACTGCAAAAAGATCTGCATTTATAATTTTTTTTAAAAAAAAGGTGAACCTATCCTTTAAACAGCATTAAAAACAGGCAGCCATGGGAAAACAAACACTTCTAAAGATAAAAACTGCTGTAAAAAAAGAAGCAAAATTTGTTTCTTGTACTAAATAAAAAAGAAAATCCATTCAAAATGTAATCCTGTAGTTTGCAGTTAAAGGTAAACTTGCGGTTTATTTTCAAACACACATACAATAAAAAAATAGCTATGTCCTGATATTTGATAAATACCAATAAATGCTATTTTATCAGAGTCTGACCAAATGTCCTATGAATGATGCAGCGAGGTCTTAATGAGAGATCACCACATAATAGTAATTAAATTATATATAATGCCAAAGAATGTACTGTCATCTCAGATCTAAGAAACATGTAAGCTAAAGTAAATAATGCAGACCTTTGGGAGTTATCTTTTTAAACAGGATAAACAGCAAAGGCTACTTTCACTTACAGTCTCTAGGCAGTGTCTGAAATAATCCTATCCAAAAGAACAGTTTTAAGGACACAAGATATTTTTGGAAGAA